TGACCTTCCGGAGGAGTACCTGCAGCCACCAGATACTAATAGTGGCACACAACCTCCATTCAGTAGAGCAGTTGCAGGTGATTTGCGTGCGGTGCGTCAGTCTCGGACTAGAGAGCCTGGGGTTCAAGTTAGGCATGCCCTGTGTGCTCATGTCAACGCTTGGGTTGCCAACCGTGGCCGTTAGAAGCTTTGCAGACATTTAGACATGGCGAAGGGAGGTGAAGGTAGTTATGCCACGGCTGTGTGTGGCGGGGGGAAGGAGGGACAAGTGGAATATATTGTGCGGACTGCACAGAATCTGAGTGACGCTCTTCTTAGTGCGCATCAGGAGTTGTCTGTCCTGCATAGGTACCTCGTCAAGCGAGGAGATGACATAACGGTTGTTGTGAAGGACGGCGATCAGCAATGGCGTCATGAACACAACCATAGCCATTATTGTGCAAGAAGATGGTGCAAGGCGGTTGATGCAAGACTTCGACAATCTCGTCTGAACGTTCGAACTTGGTGCGACGATGTCCTCCAGAAGCTAACAGGATGGAAGGCAAAATACGAAAGTGCAAACAAAGAGATTCAAATATTGAAGGAGGACAATGAGGACCTGCAGGGGCAGGTCCTTGATGCGCGTGAGCAGCATCATTATTTGGAGACGCAGCTGCAAGATGCTATCATTGCCATCCAGGAGGCTGGTGATCAGCGGGATCTGGCATGGCACTGTTATGATGAGCGTTTTGGGGAGATGGCGAATCCTGCAGGTGATGTGGAAGTCCTTTCCTCCGAAGTTGCTGTGGTGAGCCTGGAAGAAGAAGCTCATGGCGAAAACGGTTCCCGGGAGGACGGTGAGCCGACGAAATGCAAGTTGTGCTCGTCCTTGCATTCGAAAGTTGAAGAACTAAGACATAAGCTGGAGAATATGGAGCAGGTTAACAGCCTCCTGCAGGAGCCGCCTTCTTTCTGGAATGAGGTTTTTGACTGGTGATTGTATGGGACGGCCCATCCGGGGGGGGGAGGGGGCTTGTGCATTCTAATCATCACCGTTGATCTTAGGCATAACGCCGACTGTGTTTCTTTATCGTATATTAGGCAGCAGTTTCTAGGATACTGCTAGCGATCTAAGGATAGATAGATAGATAGATAGATAGATAGATAGATAGATAGATAGATAGATAGAGAGAGAGAGAGAGAGAGAGAGAGAGAGAGAGAGAGAGAGAGAGAGAGAGAGAGAGACTTCGGTATACCATGTTTTGTAGTTCGTTGCAACTTGCAACGCTTTTTGATGGGAGACAGGTTTTGGAGACTCAATGGAGAGGTACTTTCTGTTTCCGTTTTCTTTTTATTGGTGTGAATTTGTGAAAGTACTTTCTGTTTCCGTTTTTTTTATCTGTTAATGGAAGATGCTACCATGTTCCTTGCCGGTGTAATTTTCGGTGCACGTCACAGATATTTTGGTACCTTGTGGATGTTCTTCAACAATGGTCACGTCGTGGATGTAAAACACTTGTGTTTTTTTTTGTTTTTTTTTTTTTTTTTTTCTATTCCACGACGCTG